ATTATTTAATTGAAGCGTCATTTGTGTATTTATCAAATTTAAGTTTTTTCTTCTTTTAGAGTACGTTATCAAAGATGCCTTATGAGATCGACTCTCTTCGTGGTCTACAATTCGCTCTGGATGCTTCCAGTCACGAAATCCAAAAAACGCGAATTGATTTCGTTCATTTGAAAATAAGTGGCAAATAAAACAATAAATATTACCGGTCGATGGAGAATAAGAAAGCCAGTCTCGTTCTACTGTTTCTCCGTTGTGCAAATTGCGATAAAAAAGAGATCTTATTTTCTGTTTCTCATTTTTGTCATAAATTCTAGCTAATTTTGTATATTCAACATTCTTAATATGAAAAAAAGATGGATCTTTTTGCAAGCAATAGTTTCGTAAATCTTCGTTGATATCTTTCCAGGATGCTAAGTCTGTTGAATATTTTGTAATTGTACTGAGATTTTCAGACTCATCTATTGGTATGAAACAAAAAATTTTTAATAATAAATAAATTAATAATAAACATTTTAATAAAAATTTTAATTTAAATAATAATATTATATATAATAGTCGAAAAGATGAAATAAATAATTTAAAAAATAAATACATATTGAGTAAGTTCAAAATTTTTTAACAAAAAGCTTTTTTTTATCCATTTTAATCAATGTTTAGTGTACGATCCTTACGATCCTCACTGCACGCGTGAAAATAAAAGAGAGAAGTCCGTGACACCTTTTTTCTTATTTATCTTTCTGTTGTGAAAATTTAATACGTTGAATGCACATAACAGTCAATTTGAACATGCGAGAGTCTGGACATGATTTGTTGTTCGGACCTCTTTTTATTACACTTACACGCTTGCATACCGCATGCATGTCAATTCATGCTTCACTCGAGCAATAAAACCCCGGTCGAATCGTCCTGATTCCATACCCTTATACGAGTACATTTTTTTTCTTCAATTTTTGTAAATAAAATAGATTTTTTATATTATCACTTAAAAATCTCATGTAAATAATAATTTAGTAAAAACAAAATGTACCTGTACACTTATGATTTAAAATCTCCGAATTCTCGGGCAAAGGAAGCAATGTTTTATCATTGGATTCCGAATGTTCTGTCTCGTCAATTGGCCCAAGCTCATTAGATACGCTTGCAGCAATATCTATGAAGAAATTCCGGCAATAATTATATCAATATATTTAAAAAAACTTTCCACTTATCAGTTTTACCTGCTTCTTGAACACTTTGAACATTAATAAAATTAGTTATCTTCGGCAACTTTGAAATTTGAATTTTACCTTCTTTAGTTTTCTTCTTTTTGCTGCCCCGCTAGAGTGAGTTCGATGCATTTTAATATTTAAAATCAACAAACACAAACACGAATCATTAAACTAAAAAAAATATCTCGTAGCTTTAGCGGCGCGTAGCTTACAACACGTTGTTGCCGTAGAACATGTTTAAACATGTTTACCAGCAGTCCGCATTGTTATTGGAAAAACCGATAGTCCCTGCGCGTACGTGTCAAAATAAAATTCTTGGCGCCAAGCTAATTGCGCGTACATCTAAAAATATACTTACTTATAGTATGTAGATACACAAATACGCGTATATATATATTTTTATATACAAATATATGTCTTGTATTTATTAAAAAATACTTACCGTTTATTATAGTGAGTGGTGGAAAAATTCTAGATATACAAAAAAGCGGCAATTCAGCTAAAACTTATTTTAAAGAAAAATCATAACGATCAATGTTACTGGTTTTTAAACAATTTCAAGATTTTTCATCTTGAATGGGCCTCCAATCTAAGTAGGCCCAGGGCCTCTAAGTAATGAAAGACGGCCCTGTTTGATTGTATAATTAATAGAAAACAATGAAAGAGATACGATTACTAAATGTATATATTCATACTATAGATGTTATAAAAAACCTTTGAGATACTTAAACCTTTAGTTTACGCTTTAAACATAAACCATTACTAGCCTAGTTTTATAATTACTGTTTTTACAATTACTAATTTTTATTTTTATTGATTAACAACAACTCTTACTGGACCGATACTTTTCAACGATACGTCAAAAGATCACAAATCATATCTAGTCAAAGATATTACCCTCGAAAATTGAAATAATTTCCCTCGTTCCCCTTTAAATGGTGGAAACCTCAAAAAAAAAATACAAATTTAAAAATCACTAATTTTCGAAATTTTTTTTCTTAAAATTGCCATTACTTTTTGAAAAAACGAACAAATCAATAAAAAAATTTTTTTTATAAATGCATAATGTCTTATATTTATGACAATCACTAATTTTATTTTTTATTGATTAACAATAACCAATTAAACTATTTCGTATATTTTTATTGTCTTTTTACCAAAGGAGAAGAAAAAGATAAACCTGGTAAGTTCTTATATGTTTAAATAAAAATAAAAAATTTTAAAATCATTTACTTTATTGTTAAGTAATACATTTATGATTCATGCTTATTTAGTATTATTAAATAGTAGGCTGGTATGTGTTATTTTTTCTCACGTCACTGTCGATTGTAATGTAAACAGCGTTGCATCGTTATTATTGTCTTATATTACATTTTTTTGTCCATTTTACTTTTACCGAATTAAATTGCTATAATACTTATGTTTAAACAATAGTTAAATATTACTTTTAAGGCTTTCTTATCAACAATATTATTTTAAGCCATTCCACTCAAGATTTTTTTAAGTTATAATAAGTCAAAAATAGATATTTTATTATTATTAAAAAGACCGCCCAAGCATGTCTATTTTTTCAACTCAATTTTTGAAAATATTACGGAAGGTCAAACAATTTCTAACCTATATCAAATTTAATTATTGAAATTTTCTACTATATTAAAAAAAAAGTTGTCCAACAAGTGAAATTTAACAGATTTGGATAGAAGCGTTTTCTTTATGATATTGATGTTAATCACTATCAGATATCATCAACACTGTGTTTATTATGTGGCGACCCCACTGTGCTGGATGTTTAAAATCATAAATAACATAGAAAAAATAATTTAAACATTTTTAACCTTATTACAATTTATGTTATTTTATAACATACGAATGTAAAATTTATAATTTTAAACTGATCTCTAAAACTTAGTATTTAAAACCTATACATAATTTTATTAATCTTTGTCTTTTTAGAATGCCCAATTTGTCTTTTATCAATTGAGTCTACTATGACTACAGTTAAATGTTGCTCCAGAGAGTTTTGTAAAGAATGTCTTGATAAATGGATAATAGAAAAAAAAGGAAAATGTCCCCTTTGCAATAATCATACAGATGGTATGTTATGTTATATTAAAATTTCCTCTTAATATAAAAAAAGCTACTTTTTGTAGTTTTTGTTTATGACATTAAATAATTTAAATTTAAATCTGTGTTTAAAACATCGATTTAGTGAAATGTACTAAAAGAAGATTATACAAGATACTAATAATATATTATTCATTTATTATTAAATTAATCTTAACAATATTTTTTATAGGTTTTTATCGTAAGTATAAAATTTTTCAATAATTCAATTTTTAAGTTTATATAGTTTTTATTATAAAATTGTTTTAAAATTTTGACACGGCCACGCGTCGCTTCTTCATACACTATGTCCCGCGACCTTATGACACCTTTATCAGCCGTCACCCGATTTTATGAGTATTTAACTGACCAACACCGCGTGCCATACGCCGAGGTGCAAAGTCCAGCAAGTGCCACATGGCCGACGACGACCCTCCGCAAAAGATCCGTCAAGTCTTCTTCCCGTCGTCAAAGTGACAACGTCGAGGATGTACACCACCGGCTTCGGACGTGGCGCATGACCGGACTCGACGAACCGATCCGCACTCGACTTCAACGCTGCTAACTTTTAGACGGCCGAGGATAATGCCGGACACCGAGTCGCCAACACTAGTAAAAGTGCCACAATATTATGCGAAGTATATTATTAACTGCGTTCGTCTTTTCGGGTTGTTTTTTTTTCAATAATCTGTAGTTACTTATTTATAAACGGCCCACGAGTCTCTACTACCCTCAACACGATGTAAGTCGTGTCAATTTTAAATGTATTTATATAAAATTGTGAATTTATAATAATTACACTATATTTTATCCTTTTAGTATGTTTTGCTTGTGGAAATAAAATACCCAAAAATAAAGATATATATGAAAGATTATGTTGTCAAAAGAAATTCTGTACTATATGTTATCAATTGATTAAAAACAATGAAAATTGCTTAGGATGTAACATAACAGGTTTTATAGATATAAAATTATATTTATTAAAAATTTCAATTAAAAATGTGTTACAAATATATTTTTCATTGAAATTTATTTTAGCTTCAATGCGAACATAAGATGTTATCAATTTTACTATGAAATAGAATTATTTTTGCATCTGTCACATTATATAAGCACCTACCGAACCGGTTTTATTCAACTATAAGTCATAATAGTTTAATTACACCATAGAAGTTGAACACATTATTTTCCAAAATTTAAAAAAAAAAAATCTTAATTTATTTTATTATTAAAAATATCTTTAAAAAATTATAATAGTTTAAAATTACTGAATAATACAGTCTGTTTTATTCAGTATACTCAATGACTACTTGGATGACTATTCGCCGAGTTGGGTTTCGTCTTATTAGTTTTTTATGTTAGGCGAATCCGGGGCCCCGAGCTTCCTACTGGTAGAGAGTTCCTGGCGGATGATTATAGTAGGAATATGGCATTGGGAATGTGACGCAAAAAATTACCATGAACATAATTGGGACGAAAAATTAAGACGAACGAAAAACACTGTAATAACACCTAACCTAATTAACCTTATACAAATTTTTCAATGGCAGAACATATACTGAGATACTGAATTGCGGATAGGGCGGAAGTATTTTGCCAAGTCACCATATACTTGCCCGCCAACACAGCTCTAATTTTAATTATGCGCTTGGATCACACATAGATAATAAAATAATTCAAGAAAAAAAAACAAAAAAAATTGTAAAAGATAAATTTAAATAAAATAAACAGAAGGAATAAACTTTTAAATAACCGATTTTTTGTAGGGTTCTTGAAGGTACTATCTAAAATAGTTTCATCCTCTGTTCGCATTGAAGCGTTTATATGACGAACATTATAATCACTTTCACATTTCAATCAATATGGTTTTAAATATGTTTATTCTTTACTATACTATTAATTGTACTTTTTTAGGTTCTAAATATCATTTAATCTCTAAAAATAAATTCGAAAATCCTAGAAAGACAAATGAATAATATAAATAAAAATAAAAATTTTCAACATATTTAGAAGTCAAAAATTAGTTAAATAATATGTAAAATAAACTTTTAATTTCATTATTAAACTTTTTGCAAATAATAATAGCTCTGTTAAAAAATGTATATTAAAAGCATATTTTTTTAATGAGTCTTATCCCAAAGAGTTAATTTTATTAAAAAAGGTAATGACCAGTACGTACAGTGTATTAAGGTATGTAATTATTATGTCAATAATTACATTGGATCAAGTATAATGATATCTGATAGTGATTAAAATCACTATCAAAAAAACGCTTCGATGCAAATCTTTAGATAGTGTTTAATTTTAAAAAATTGGTGGATTATACCAAAAGCAACATGATCTGCTAGTTCGTTATTAATATCCTGATTCAGATAAAGTATGTCGAATAAAAAAGGGATTATTACAAAATATTATTTCTCATAAAAAAATTATGTTGATCCATACACTTTTCAATAATTTATAACATCATTATAAAGTTAAAAATGTAAAAAATAAAATCAAGAATTTTCCCACAATAATAGCATTCGGTAGCTATTTTTACCGTGAAGACAAAATAAAGTCCGAAATTTTTTTTTTTGAATAATAAAGTATATTACATTAGCTTTAATTTAAAATATATATTTAAAGGTGTCAGACTTTCCGGAACACTTTCAAAATTTAAGTTGAAAAACTTCTACTTTCTATATGCATTTTTTAGATTCGTAATTATATATACGAGGGGGGTATATAGGGAAATGGTCCGATTTAAAAAATAGTATGTCAAATGAAAGATGTATATAAATACTACTCTTCATGAAAAATTTGTATTGATCCATACATTTTTCAAAAAGTTATAGCATAATAAAGTTAAAAATGTAAAATACAAAATCGAAAATTTTCACACAGAAATAGCATTCGGTAGCCATTTTCACCGTGAACATAAAATAAAATCCGAAATTTTTTTTTTTTTCATAATAAAGAACATTACATTAGCTTTAATTTAAGATATGTATTAAAGTGTCTGACCTTCCGGAACATTTTCAAAAGTTAAGTTAAAAAATTTAATTTTTTGTGAAAAAGTTGTCATTTTAAATCCCCTCTTGTGGGCAGGTTAAGGTTTAAATTTATGAAAAAAATAAACCAAATGAAAGGTAATGATATTATGCATCTATATAAAAAATAATTACATTAATATGTTTATTTTTAAAAAAGTTATGGCACTTATAAGTAAAAAAAATTGAAAAAATTTCGAAAATTAGCGATTTTTAAATTCATACTTTTTTTGGAGGTTTCCTCCATTTTCGGGGAACGAGGTAATTTTTTTTAATTTTTAAGGGTAATGTCTTCGACTAGGTACAGTTTGTGATCTTTTGACGTATCATTGAAAGAAATCGGTTCGGTGAGAGCTAAGAAAAGTGGTAACAGACACACAAAAAAAAAAAATAATAAAAAAAATAAACACATCTTAGTAAAATCAATACTTTCTCAGCTTCGCATCGAATCTAAAATAAATTGTATTATAAATATTTTTCTTAACATTGACGCAACTTTTATTACAACAATAATAGATTAAAGTGACATGTCATGCATGCAACTAGAAATGGTTTATTTATGCAATAGTTATAAATATTTATAAGAAAAATACTTTAGAACCCTACCAATATTTTATATACAATAAAATTTAAATACTATGACAAAAAGGAACTACAAAATGGTTGTAATTGGGCCAAGAATATTCGATTCGATTTTTAACTTTAACAGATTTCAAACCGATATTCTGATATAATTTTTCGATTTATTTCCAAACTTAAAACTTAATAAAATGAGCTTCGAATTCAAAGTAGTTTGGTTTGATTTTGAGTTAAGCCTTGTATGATGTTTTTATTAAACATCATAAATTTTAATTTGTCACATCACAACTAAAACTAAAACTACTAGGGTGACCGTTAATTATATATATTTTTAATTTAACATTTTTTTCTACCATTTAATATTCATAAGATACATAGAATAATTTTTAAAATTATAGAAAAAAAATTCAGACTTGCATATTAATGAAATACTAAGAACTACTTTACAAATAAAAAAACCTATGAAAATATAAACTAGATATTCAAAAATTTTCCCGATTTTAGAAATCTTGACATTATACACTTTTACTGCAATTAGGAAAACAACGCCGATATTCTGTAACAATCTGTAGTAAGTATTGTTTTTGTGCTTCATCTTTTGTTAAAATATTATTATATTCATAGATGAACTTCACACTACTCTCTGTCAAATCATTTACAACTTTTAATTTTTTTTTCCTTCCCTATATTGATTGTTTCCTTTCTATAACAAAGGATCTAAATCTAAAAAATCAGTTTCAATATCAAATCTTTCAACAAATTTGTTTGATTCCGTTGAAATAAATTCTTCAATATTTTTAATTTTGTATTCTGTAATAATCAAAAAGAAAGAGGGAGGTTGGAAAAGAAAGGGTAGCGGGTAGTATAATGGGAAAGGAAAAAATTTGTCTGTTATAGTTGTTTGGTATAAAGAGAGTAAAAGTGGCTAGAGTTATTAGGTAGTGACTATAATAGAATGTGTTGAATGTCGTTGGTGAATTCGGATATGAATGTCAACTGGTTGAGTTGCGTAGGAGGTATCTTTTCTCTCCGTTGGGTGAAAGCATATACGAGTGGCTTATGATCGGTAGTCAACCTGTGAGAACCATAAGCTCGGTCTTTCGGACCAGAAAGGTGGCAACTTGACGGCAACGCGATTCACTGAAGCTGTTGGATATTGCTGTGCCTGTAGTGCTGCAAGGCGAGCGTTTTCTTGGCGTAACTCATCCAATTGATTGCGTAGTTCTTCGGCGTTCATACTTGTTATCGTCGAGGTCACCAATGTAGCGAGGTGTAATATATAGAAGTAATAAACACTTTTACGATTTAATAACAACTATACTATATTACAACGAACTAACAAATAACAAATAACAGCGAGAGACGAACTGTATTACAACGAACTAATAAATAACAGCGAGAAACGAAGCGCGTGTAAGACAGAATGCGTAAGTGATTGACTGATCGACTCATCGACTCGTAAATCAGCATATCATCCACCAGCCAATGGTTTAGTTGAACGATTCCACCGATCACTTAAAACGGCAATAAAGTGTTACGAAACTGAGCACTGGACAGATGTACTCCCCTCAGTTCTTATGGGCCTTAGATCAGTGATTAAAGAAGATCTAGGTTTAACACCCGCAGAAATGGTATTTGGAAGTACGATTAGATTACCTAATGAGTTTTTTATGCAGTCATCAGTGGCGACAGACCCTTGTTCCTTTGCTGAAACACTAAAGAAAACAATGGAAACCATACGCCCAGTGTCAACTTCAAACCACGGAAGTAAAAAAGTTTTTATATATAAAGATCTAGCATCCTGTTCACACGTTTTCGTTCGGGTCGACCGGGTCAAGAAACCGCTAGAACAACCATATGAAGGGCCGTACAAAATTGTTCAACGATACGAAAAAACCTTTAAATTATTAATTAGGCAAAAAGAATGTATCATATCAATAGACAGACTGAAGCCATGTTTCAACGAAAATGAAGATAATAACACAAATCTATCAATAACAACGAACCAGCAAAACCAGAGAAATACAACTACAAGACCAACAATAATACAAACAAAACAAACCAAGTCAGGAAGAACCATCCGCCTCCCCGTAAGGTTTTTGTAAATTGTGAATTGTATCACTTTTATATTTGTATTTGTATTTTTATATTTGATATTTGTAACTATGTATGTTTAACGTAAAATTATCGTTTTCACTGGAAAGGGGGTAATGTAGGGATTAACAAAGATGTTAAATAACATGTCACAATGAATGCGTTTATATATGTTTATATGTTTTATCTTAGATGTACTGCAGTACGATAACACTCCGTGTATTTTTTTTATTCTCGCGCTGTTCGTCAATCCAGTGACACTTTTTATTTGTACTTTTTTTTTTATGTACGTATAAAATTATTTTTCATTATTAAAAAGTATTAATTATTATAAATTTTAATTGTAGTATTTTGTAATAAATATAAACACCAAAACACTACAAATGAAATAAAAAGTGATCTCGGGGATGTGGTTATAAACACGTCTAACACATGTGAATAACACATTGACATAATAATACTATTTAGCCCCTGCACAAAAATGAATATACGAATTTATGTGAATCACGAATATCGTACTTCTCTACACAATTATTCTACTTAATTTGCTTTCAACAACTTACGTCACTCTAATTGTTTATTTTACAGAAATTCCTTCGGTGAAGGGTTTATTATAAATTTGTTATATAAATAAATGTTTTCACCTACCTCTAATTATCCTAATAAGACAAATATTCTGCTGTGTTAAATTATGTAGTTGATGTCACTATTAGTGGTATGTATCTGTGTGTGTTGGTAGACGCACTTGAAGTTAGATATAAGTTATATTAACTCGCGTATAACTATATCTCTAGTACAACTCTATATTAAATCTACTCAAGGTGAAACTTAAATTTATTTTACTTTTGGACTAGGCTAACTAGGCTATAACCTAGGGGGCCACAACTTGAAGGGGCGCTGCGGCTAGAAAAACTCACGATTTTTTTTAGATATAATTCCTTTCTACGAATTTGATTTTCCATCTATTAGAATTAATGTAGTTATTTTGTTAAATTAGTTGCTCACTGTTGTAAAATTATAAACTAGCAAGAATATATTCTACAATATATATAATGTGATTGGGCAGGGTAGCTACGGCACGACGGTATACATTATCTAAAATAATACTCTTCGACGGCGGTCGTACAAATTATGTCGAGCAATTATATCAAGAAAACGCTAAACGTATTGTTTCATTAACTAATGATATTTATTTTTTATAACGGTGCACATTTTTGTTGTTTACATTAATAAGTTGACAACTGTATTTACTAAATTAACCGTTTATTAACAGAATAAAAATATAATTATTATTTTTTATTATTATTCATTAATTATAATTTATGCATGATTGATTTTTTTATCATCATAATTTAAACAACAAAATTTCAATGCATAATTTTTTTACGTTAACTTTTAAATACTTTTAAAGTAACTATACATTATACATTAGAAAATACAAATTTTTAAGTAAATTGGGAGGGGGTGATCAGCTCAGCTCTTATTCAATCTGTGTTCTAAGACGTGGGCGTTTGTTCCTTATTAGCCTTTCTGGGTAAATCCGGCCCTGTGTGTGTTAGTAGACGCACTTGAAGTTAGATATAAGTTATATTCATTTGACTTTAATAAGTTGATATTAGTAGTTTTTATAACATTAAAAAAATTTTAAACTTAGCATTACCTCAATATCTTAGTTTTTTGTATAATGTCATTAGCTTTTCATTCAAATGTAAATTTAAATTTTTAATATAAAGTTGTAAATTAAAATATTTGTGTTAGTTAATTTTAAATATTTTTACATTATTACTATAGAGAAATTTCAAGAGAAAACAATTTTAACTTAATGAGTATATCATCAAAATTAAATAATGATGAACTGTAAAAGATGAAAAACTCTTAACTGCTCATTAACTGGTAAAATCACTCTATATAATATTTTTTTTTTTTGTAGTTAAACATATTTTTGATATATCAATTACTAAATAATTTTTATTAGTGTCAACACTTTTTCACCAAAATACATAATTTATATAATAAACAAAACTGACATAATAAAAACCCAGCACAATGGGGACGTTGCATAAATGGGTCCAGTATAGATTTAATCTGACAGTGATTAAAATCACTATTATAAGAAACGCTTCGATGCAAATCTGTAGATAGTGTTTAATTCTAAGAAATTGATGGATAATTACAAAAGCAACATCAACTTCTATTAAAATAAAATACAAAACCCATAATTATCATACAAAAATAGTNACATCAACTTCTATTTCCTTAATTATACACAGATTAGAAATTCTTTTAATTATCTTATTCTATAATAAAACAAGGAAAAAAACGCTTTTCTGGGAAAATTACTTAGCGTGCTCAGATTTTCAAAATTTTTTTTTTCAACGAAAGTACTCGGTCACCAGACTGCGGGAAAATTATTGGCGAAGGTCGGAAAATTTTTGCCGCTCGCCGGCGAAGGTTATAAAATTTCGATCGTTTTCGAGAAAAACGCTCGCTGACGCCAGCGTTATACGACTTAAGGTTTGAAATTTTCAATTTACTCAATGATGTTTTACTTCCGTAAGTATAAATTTTTAGTAGCGATTACGAAATACAATGGGTGACTGTTGAGACAGCAAATTCCTCCGAATGTCACGTTAAATGTTAAATACTTTAATTATAATATTCTGAGATAGTATACAGAGTTATCAGCTATCTGTGTCTGTCGTAATATCATAAATAAATCAAACACCAATATGTTTTATGTGATGAAATGTTTGTATCACCAAAAAGTGCGTTCGGCCGAAAATAAAATGAATAATAATTCTTCTAAGTCCGAGCGACTAAAAATGAAATGTAAAATGGTGTAGATATGATATAGAATTATAACTAAGAGCGAACCATATATCGACGCAGATTCCATGTGTGTAAACATTGACTAGGAAGAGTAGAGAGAATGGCTACGTTGAAAAAATGGCTTTTTTATAGACACAAAACTAGAATAGCGATCTCTGGTGAAATTCTTAAGATATTTTTTTGTTGGATTTGATTAATCAATGTGATAGAATCTTTTACGTGAGTGTTTTGTGGAATGCGTAGGTGGGTGGTTGAATTTTGTATAAGAGTATTATTTTTTTTATTCATCTTATCCACGGAGAAAACTGATTTGGTGATATGTTTTTATTGAGTATATGTATTATTTAATACTACAGTGTTTAAATACTTGTAACTTATGAAGTACTCTAAAATTGTAATCGACCCATCAAATTTTTTTTTTAAAAAGGGCTAAAAATAATGTACTAAAATTCTTCATATTTGATAAAAATAAAAATTAAAAAAATTAAAAATTGTATTTCATTATCATTCTATAGGTTGAAAATTTAACCACATTCCATTTTTTGATCTCATAATAAATGAACGCGTATCCAATTTCATTGGTATTGGCGTTTTTTCACATGGAAGTATCTCGTATCTCATCAAAATTTGCGAAATAGCTACTTTCAAAACCATTATGGCAAATCTGTTACCTGAAAAATTTAACAGCTATAATCGTATAATGAAAAGGTCATTTAATAAACATTAAATTATCAAATTTTAAATAAAATTTTTAAATCAATTTAGAGAAATAATGCACCTAAACATATACGAGGGCCGACTCCAAAAGGTAGAAAAGTACTATTAGGACGTTTAGCTTTTTCTTCAGGAGAAAATCGCTCTGGATCAAACTTCATTGGATCAGGATAGTACTTTGGATCCATATGAATACAATATGCAGATATCACTATTTTTGTATTTTTTTCTATAACGAAATCTTCGTCTGGTATTTGATACGATTTTGTGGTATTTCTCAATATTTCAAACGGAGGATACATTCGCAAAGTTTCTGTTAATATTACATAAAGCAATCATATTAACTTTGCATAAAAATTTTAATAAAATGTCTTAATATATTTGTAAACCTATAGTAAATATCATAATGAAAAATAAATATAATTATAAAAAAACTTGATGATGTCTATATTGTTTTGACCGGGTTGGTTCGGTTGACAAAATGAAGAGATAATGCGTTTGAATATTAGTTGCTATTTATTATATTTAAATATATATATACACTTATAATTGACTTTACGACTTAAATAGACGACGCAAAATAACATAAAAAATACAATGGACAGTCATCTAGGTTGGACTCTATATACTATATGACTCTTGAACGAGTAGCTGACTACTACTGGCGCTACGCCTCAGGTGGCGGCAGCGGCTGTTGGCCCAATACATTAAAAAGGGCTGAGCAAACATCGAATATTCTAGAAGGACTAGATTCTTGCCTGGGTAATACTTTATATACAAGACAAAGGAGCTTCCGTTCCCATGATTAATATATACTATTAAATTACACAATTACAATTAGGCAGCAAAAAGCCAGTTCACAACAATATTATAAAATTAAAATTATTTTAAAAGAAATCAGTGGTCAACGATAAATCAATTACCTTGTATAATTATAACCCACTTCAGAATGGAGTGACTATTTTATCCAAGAATGGAAAAATTATTTTTTTTTTAATTTATAGCAGATTTTTAATTGTACCAAGTTACAAGATTTTTAAATTGGTATATTTTGTCATTTTTTTCACTTTTTTTCTTAAAACTGCCATAATTTTTTCAAAAATGAACGAATCAATATAATTTTTTTATGTAGAAACCTTAGATATTTTCCTATCATTTAATATGAATTTTTTTAAACCCTGATTTTTTACTTGCCCACAGGGGCGGGCGAATCAAAACAGTAACTTTTCACGAAAATCCAGTTTTGAAAATGTTCCGAAAATACTGCGTCCTTCAAACATATGTTAAATTAAAGTTTTTTCATGCTTAAATTTAGCATGAAATTGATATTCAATGAATTAATATTGTAATTTTTTTGGAAAAATAATAAAATATTATAATGTAGTATATTTTGTTACTTCTATAACAAACATTGTCACGGCACTGCGCTTCGGTCTACGCTCCCCATGTCTCTCTCGATATCAGCCGTCCACCTATTAATATAACAATCATCCGTCATCGGATGTCTCCCTGACCTTGACACCGTGACAAGGCCGCCGCCCAATATGTATCACTGATAATGTGTTCTATTCCGTTTCCGACGTGTACCTAATTGGTTGGCGTTTTAGGTTTGCTTATGGGCTCTTTACGACTTAAGTTTTTCTTCTTGTGTTTTTGCAATTTAAAATTGTGTTCCTATAATTATATTTGCTTGGTGTAAAACTATACTTAATATATATACTTATATATAACGGTAATCATATTTAAGCGGCGGATTGTAATAAGTGTAGTTTGTTTTTTCCGTCCTATTGGATTACGTGATAACATGTATAATAATTAAAGAGATTAATGCATACTTTAAATAAAAAAAATAATTAAAAACCAAAAAAAAAAAATGGTTTTTTTTCAAATTATTACTGATTATGATTTTTAATATTTTAAAAATAATCAGTTCAAAATATTATTTAACAAACAAAGTTTTTTGGTCCTTTAAAGTTAATTTTTGTGAAGGTTTATTATAAAAAAAAAGTTGAATTTGTTAACATGACTTTTAGCTCAATATGCAAATTTGAAGTTGACATCATTAAATAGAAAATTTTACGAGAATTAAAATAATGGTATTATTAAGATTAATATGCAGTCAGAAAAATTTTTAATTACTATTTACAATAAAATTATCGGAAAAGCTCAATATTTTGTTGCGTTTTTATCGTAATAGATCACTTAATTAGAAATCAGAGTAATCATTTTTAAGTAACTTTTAAGTGATTTTTAATCATTTTAATGATTTACTTTAACTAAAATCAATTGTTAAAAAAATCTACTCGATTAAGCATATTATAAAATTTGTTTACAATTGCTAAAGTTCACTATTAAATTCAGGTGAAACTAAAACTCATTCTTAACATGCTTAATAAGCATTGCTTATATTAATTTCACTTGTATGCTTATAAGTTTGTAACTCTCCACGAACCACTCGTTATTATTCTCACGTGTCCCGTCGCCTATGGTCTTGAAACTAGACTGACGTAACGCAGTCACCCAACCCCGGCAACACTATTCCTGTATAATTTTATTTTTTGATTTTGTACCCGTACATACGTGCGTGTCATCAATATTATATACATAAATATATATATTATATATATGAACAAAGTTTTATTGTTTATTATTTGACATAAACATTTAAAGATTCAAATTTTTTGTGATCATTTGATGTATCGTTAAAAAAAATTGGTCAAGAAAATAAATGATAGCCACAAAAAAAAACACATAGTAAAATAATTTTGATATAAATAAGAAATTTCTGCTCACAAAGAGAAACTACAGTGATGGGTTCCGTTATATTCATTGAAGTTATTGAATCTTAATGAGACAAAAATAAATTGAGTTAAAAAGATTTTTCTAACTCAAAATGAATTTTTAAAAAAATGAAAAAAAATTCATTTTTAGTGGCGGGGTTTAAACCTTGTACCCAAAACGTAAAAGATCCATGTTTAAACGCCACAGCAACCTTGCAACTAATAATTTAGTGATAGATGAAAATAGAAATTTAAGTTCATTTTTTTCATATTAAAGTATATTATATAAGCTTTAATTTAAGATATATATAAGTGTCACTATTTCCGGAGCATTTTCAAAAATGAAGTTTTCATTTTGAATCCTACCCTATAGACAGGTAAGGGGTCAAATTTTCACAAAAATATACCAAATTGTCGGTAAATATCTATAGTATCTATAAAAAAAAAATGATGTTGTTTTTTCTTTTTTAAAAAATGGCAGTTCTAAGAAAAAAAAAATGTCGAAAATTACCAATTTTTGAAAATTGTTATTTTTTTTAAGATTTCCTACAATTACGGGAAGCAAGAATATTTTTTTCAATTTTTGAGAGTAATGTCTTCGACTAGATACCATCTGTAATCGTTCGACGTATCGTTGAAAGAAATCAGTCTGGCGAAAGCCGAGAAAAAGGGGTAAAACACAAAAAAAACCACATTATAGTAAAATTCATATCATGTATGACCATTTCTAAGTAATGAAGTTCTCCAAGAAATTCATAGTTTAAAATTCCATTGTTTTTTTTTTTGACTTGAAAAACTTCTTTGCGGACATGCTCCTGGATATTTTTATTGAGTGCAAGTTGATACAAGCAAAATGACATAGTTATAGCAGTTGTCTCAAAACTAGCAAAATATAATAAAAACGCATTTGCTATAATATGTATCTCTTCAAAATTAACTGAAACAAAAAGAAATTTATGATCATTACATTAATGTAATATTAAATTGATGATACTTATTCATAATTGCTTAATTATCTGTATACTTATGATATATGGATGAATACTACCCCCCCCCATATTTCTTTGTTTTTTTTAAACATACAAATTAAAATTTGTTTATTTCGTGAACCATAGAAAATATAATTTATTAATTCTGGATCACGTAAAAGTAACATTGGTGTCCTCATAAAATAAATTCCTAAATACTTTTTTCCAAATGCCTCGTGATATAATTTGTGATAAGTATAATACTTATGTATAATACATAGTTTCCCTTCCGATTATGAAACGAAAAAAATTTCCAAAAAATGTGATAGGGTGAACGAACGGTACATTTTTCTTTTTCCAATAGTCGTAGGTTGAATTACACATGTAGTACAACAAGATAAGTAAAATGACACAAAAAGTAAATGTATACATTGCTAAGTTGAGATTTATTTTATGCAACAACTATTTATTATTTACAATTAGTTTTTACAATAACTTTTTTAAACACATTAAAATAAAAGTTGTGAATTCAATAAGAATATTACTAACGCTATTTCAGTTTTGGAGTTGGTTATATAAGTGAAAATATATAGTATTAATTATAATTATTTATAATAATTATTATTATTATTATAAGACAAATAATTATTTGCCTTTGTATTTAAATTAAAGTATCAACAAAAATATTTAATTTATTACTATATTAATAACTATGTTCATGTGAAAATATAGTGACGGAAATTTCGTTTGAATGTATACGTATTCAATATAATAAATTTTTTTCCACCGAGACGTAATAACGACGTATATAAATAATATAGAATAAAAAATTCACTAAAATCAAAATAGTTCTCTTTATTTATATTTAAATTAAGTTATTATAATTATTAAAATAATCTATTATTTTCGAATCCTTAATTTCTTTGATTAATGATTTAATTTCAAAAAAACGTCTTATTATTCGACTAAAAATAATTTGTATATACTTAATACAACATATAGTAATATATGACTAAACAAACAAACAAATAACAAAGTCGACAAAGATATTTTTTTTCACGTACTTCATTATTATTATTGTAATAATAATGTATAAATAAAATATGACAACGATAAAAACCATAATAATAATAAAAATAATAATATTATTTTTGTTTAAATTTTAAATGATTAATTTTTAAATGTTTTAATTTTAAATGTTTAAAATAAAACATTTCATAAACGTTGATTCAACAATTAAAAATTAAACGTTTAATTAATGTTTATAAAATGTTTATTTTTAAACTTTTCAATTTTAAATGTTTAATAGTTAAACGTTAGTAGTAAGTAAATAGCGGGTTCTGGGGATCAAAGGATGGCGCCATGGTAATTAGTGTCATACGTCATCAAAAAGTAATAAATTAAGAGTGTTAATGGGTAATTAAATGGCTAATAAAGGTCAATAGTAATTGTTAAAATTGTAAATCAAGTGTGTTATTGTTGAAATTGCGATAATAATGTGGGTTGGCGGAGCACAGTGGGACCAAACGCTGATTTAGCCGGCCAAAAGTACCATTTTTAAATCAACTAATAAAAAAATTTTTTTAGCAAATTTTTTTATTATATCCTTATGAGGTCATGTACAAAAATTCAAGGCCAAAAATTGATACAGTAATGGTTGAGTACTATTTAAATATCATAACACTGTATTTTTTTGTTTTTTTTTCTAGAATATTTATTATTTCTTCAATCATTTTTTCCTGCTTAATTAAAAACCTTAATTTTTTTTTTTTATTTAAAATGTTTAAAAAATCATCGGCTTTCAATTTTACTAAGAAAAATTTTTTTTTTAATTTTAATAATTTTTACACACAAAAAAATGCAAATAATTATTTTACATTGTTTTTTAAAGAGTTTAACTCAAAATTATGCAATATTACGATTACACCAATACATACATGTTGTAGAAGAACTCATAAGCTACAATTACAAAAAAAAAATTTTTGCGTCAGATAACATTTGAGCCGTGCACGTAGAATTTCCATATAATAAACGTGTATTTTCGTAAAAATTGTAATACCTTAAAAGAGTCGTTGTTACTCCTTGCCGTCCGGGGGGTCCGGGGGGCCGGATAGGCCCCCCAGCCGCCGGAGGCATTGGCGCGGGGAGTCTCGGTTCCACTAACCATTTCCAGAATTCGCACTGCAGGCTATTTACCTGTTACAACAAAAAAGGGGACCGCGCGATCCAGTCCTCGGTTATGACGGATGACGCCGTAGCCCTTCCCCACCCAGTATAGCGAAGACCTTTCCTAGAGTGGGTTCGCAGAGACCAACCACTATAACCGCTCTTTAGCCGTTATTTTAGGTGCACGGCAGAGCACCACTACGGAGGCTGATCACCGCAGCCGGGATCGATTTGCGACCATCGCCCGATTAAGGGTCATGCGCGCATGACGGATCACCGCATAACCACGTGCCCTTCCAGCATTGAAAAACCAAGCCCAACCGAGTCTGACACCATGAATCCGGAACGCTTAACCGACAGCGTGGGCACCCAGATTCCCCGGTTTACCAGTGTTATATCAGCCTTTGACTGGTCGCGGCCGACGCGTACGTCTCTCTGTTGAGCCTACCGCTATACATCCATTCGGCTGTATACCTGCAGGACTGCTGAAGCCCTCAACCTGTTCAACCAGGAACCTGGAATAGGGATATGAGAACCCAGCTTTAGGGGCAAACTCTAACAGATAACAAGTTTACCCGCGAAAATTGTAATACAATAAAGTTAAAGACTCTGCCCCTGTCACACCCTCCCCGGATTTGTATGTCAAACGGTCGCGCGTTATATTACGTCATCGCCGTCGTCGCGCCATCGCAACCACCGCCGCCGCCGTTGTCGACGGGGTATAAGCCGTAGGTAGGTCGTGTAACCCATAAATGACACCTCATTCTCCATTGAAATTTCATTGTCTAACAGATGTTTGGAAAGTATGGTGTCGTGCAGCAGCAACATTGTCTGCTGACTACTAATCGGTTCTCAGTATTCGTTAATGATTAACAATAGATTAACGGTTAATCTATTGTGCGTGTAAGATGGATTATTTCAGTAATATATCGGATAAATTGATTTTTCTTGTTGGAAACGATCCGACAGATAGAGTTTTTAAACCAGTCAGTAAATTATTGAAAAATGATCGAGATTTGCAATATTTTGCGGAATGTCTAGGAGATAAAGTCAACGGTACCAGTGGAGACTTTTTACACTACAAAGGTTGTGAATTATCGAATGCGGGAAAAAATTCAGACAATCCTGAATGTGCATGCTCAGTTGTGAAGCGAATATATTACGAACTTTTGGATTCAATTAAAACAATTGAAAAAACGGTGAATGCGAATATCGCTGCGATAGTAAGGCCTATTGGATCTTGAGACTTTAATCACAATGGCTACACCAAGGTATAAATTCAATAAAATCAACGACTTGACGATTCATCAATGTAGAGTATTTCACGAATGTCTCGCGTATTCATTGGTCTGGATCCAGACGATTCATTTTGGCCAAAAGTCAAGTTGGTAAACAGTCATCAAGAACTTATTATCACTATCGATTTACTGAAAAAGAATGTATTCAATGTGCGGATATATTTTATCGATAACGGAAAATTTAAACGGAATACTACTTTTGCAAGATGAAAGCATTTAGGTGATTCTGACACAGTGGGTGCAAACTTTTACCCGAAAAGATACATTACTGTTTCAGTCAAAACGAGATGACGACTGTGTACTTCATTAAAGATATGTTATTTGAGAAAATAGATCGACAATTGTTTTATATACGTCCACGTACTTTACATGAAATAAAGGTTATACTTCAGTCTTCAATTGATCGTATGGTGGTTGAAAAGAAACCGATAATTTTTCCCCGAATTAAAACATCGGATTTGTTATATTTCTACGAAATTTGTTGTACGGGATTTATGAGTAAATGTCTAGAAAACATCTCGAAAACTATTTTCAATTATCCACAAATGAAAGTATGTTAAAAAATATTTGATTTTTTCATCTTAACTCTAATACTTATGAAAACTTCAGCACTTGTATTACTTTTCCGATCTGGTGGAATTGGCTACAAATAGATCATTTCTAGGAATGGATGCTTTGCCAAAAATTGACAAGAAAGAATGTGTGACTTTTCCAGTCAAATTCAAGGATAATCGAAATAAAATAACAAAAAAAACAATATGTTTACAAAATAACTATGTTTTTATTTAAAAAATTATATATTTATACATTTTTTTGTTTCTATACTATATTGTAAATTATACAGTAATAAAAATACATTTGCATATACATTAGAGTTTTCGTACTTCACCCGTGAATGTGTTTTATTCCATTTGACAATCGTGAATAATTACACAATACAATGTATATTTATGTGGTATGCTCATTTGTCGTATTTTATACGAACACATTTGTAATTTAATAATTTGTAAAACCAATAAAAAGGTTCTAAATAACATTACTGTCGTGTGCAATAAAATATTTCCAAATGTCCTACGTCTTTTCAGTCATCCATACAGTGATCTAGGGTAGATGCGAGTTCAACTTAAGTTCTTTGCATAATAGATTATAATAGTGTCCTACACTCCACACTATTTCCTTTCGGAAATTGGCATTAATCAGATAAGCTGGAAAATTAGTGAAGAGACACTTTGGAGAGCGCTTATAATTAATTAAAACTTTGATTATAATATTATTATGCTAGTATTTGTTTCAGCCAGAATATGGACCCTCAAAAAGTAATAGATAGTTAATTATAATTTGGGACATACTTAATACCTAATGCACACACCATTAACTGATAAGATTTAACTAAAAAGAACTAGACAAATTCTGCAACATTACACGTTTAATTAACGGTTATATTTTTAATTAAATGTTTAATTAAAATTTAATTTTTAATTATTTAATTTCTAAATGTTTCATTAAAGATTAAATTTTATACATTAAATTTTTAAATGTTTCATTTCAAAACGTTTTATTAACGTTTAGTTTTTAAACTTTTATATTTTAA